AAGACGAAGAAGCCTCCAAGGCTCAGCTTACGTACAACATCGTCGCCCTCGCCGAGCACATCGTCGGCTACCTCACCCAACGACTCGAACTATGTTCGCAAAAATGTCAAAAATGTCATTGAGAGACATGAGAGCCAAGCCAACAAAAGCTCGCCACTGACATGCCGCCACCGCCACCACCACAACCTACGTTGAGGAGGTCGGCGAGACTGTCCGTGCGCGAGTCGGCATCCGAGGCAAAATCAGACGACTCAACGGCGACCAACAAACCAAAAAAGAAGATGATCATGCGAGTGGCACACTTCACGGAGGAACACGTCATAATTATCATAAAGCACGCCTTAGATACGTGTGCGATAAACAATCTGACAACGTGGCTCATCTTAAAAGAATCGCGACCAGATTTGTTCGCATCATTCACGACATCGGCGTTACAATTCAGGATCAAGCAACTGAGCGCCGGTGTGCACAAGCCCGAATTCGGCGAAAGATACGCGGACAAATTGCAAAAAATTCGCCAAATGGTAATATTTCAACGGGTTAAGTAATATGTTGATAAACTTAAAAATTAAAAAAAAAACATTAAAACATAAAACACCTAAAAATTTTTGGTATAACCTCCCAATATTCTCTTTCCCTACTCCAATTTCCCTTTCTTTCCCATTCCCCTTTCCCCGCCCGCCAATGTGGCCGCCACCTTGTCGCGGTGGCGGGGCTTCAAGGTGCATTCCCTCTTGGGGACGCACCGACCAAGAGTGGCCACGAACTTAGAATTTTGCCATAAATTGTATTATTTATAAGCTGTAAACTTTTTTTAACAAAAAATTTCAAAAAAAGTCGAAAAAGGGTCCAAAACGCGTTTTTCGACATTTGCAATTGCATGGAGTAGACACTGGGAGGTCGAATTTTCAAAGGCCATTTCTTGGAACTTGGAAAATTTCAGCTTCATCCACGTTCAAGTATACAGAGCCCTAGGGGGCGGGTAGGGGGGGATGGGACCGGAGGAGATGAATAGTCCTCCTCGAGAGAGTCAACTTTCCCTCAGACCCCACCCCCATAGCTTCCCCCCTTGGAAGCTAGAGTCCAAAAACCAAAGTGCCAAAATCAACCCTTGATGGAGAGGTCGGAGGGGGATGAGACCTGTGCCACTTTTCGAATCGTGAAAAAGCGTTTCAGGTTCCGTCGTAAAAAAATTTTGAAAATTTTTATAAAGTGGGGGGGATGGGACCTGAAGGGATGGACGCGTTTTGTCGAGGACTACCTTTGGTCCTCGGACCCCAACCCCCTACCTCCCCTCCCTTTGGACGCTAGAGCCAATAAACAAAAAACCCCAATTTCAACCCCTTGAAAGAGGGGTGAAGGAGGACTATGACCAAAATCCGTTTCATCTCTTTAATATATGCGATAAAAAAAATTTCGGTCTACAAAAAAGCCTATAACCCCTAGGAGTGGTTATATGATATTTTTTTCTATTCTACATTAGTGCTTTCTATTTTCCCTTTCGTCCTTTCGTTATCACGCATGTGGAAAAAAAAAGATTGATTATTATGTATTCGTGCGCGTATATTTTGGAGAGGAAAAAAAAAGCTTCCTCTAACCGACAGATCACTACTTACGCAGTGCCAATAATGTACAAAAATTAAATTGTATCGCCTGGGGATTTTCCCGGCGAGGTAGTGTAGCCCCCAACATTGTCCCCTCTACTTTTATGGAAAATGTCGCCTAACTCTGACCGAGACGGATCAAGTCAAATAAAACAAAAAAAATTTTTTTTATTCGACACTTTTGACGAGCAATTTTGAGTCACCCGATCTGTCTTGATCTTGGAAAACTATATTGCCCAATGCCCAAGCACGGACCGTGGAGAGAAACCTCCCACTCTTAAATACTCGACTTCAATCCCCACTCCTCAACTCATAGCCCATCCTCGACTTTGTCGTCAAGCATCTCGAAGGGCTATATAAGGCGAGAGCATATCCGAGAGATTGACAGTCTTATTTTGGTTCCCCCTCCGGCTTTTAGCTTCTCTAATACAGTTAAACCCGCGTCGCGAGTACCGGAGTGAACCGGTAGTTAGCGTTGGTGAATCCAGGATTCGTCGGCCATGATTCGAGAAAGTGAGTGTTGGGGTGCCGGAAGTGCTGAAGAGATCTCGGTCAAGATTTGTCAGGTCGGCGGTCGAGACGTATTTTGACTGAAAAAAAATAAACCACAAACATTGCACCGCGATGTCCGGAAAAAGTAAAGTGATTGACATAGCGTCGTCGTCGTCGTCGTCATTGTCGTCGTCACCATCACCAACGCGGAAAACGCCGCCGCCGACGCCGCCGCCGCCGCCGCCGCCACCATCGCCACCATCGTCACCACGTCGGCAACCATCGTCGTCATCACCGTCTCCTCGGATACCGGCGATACCCGAAACGACGACGACGACGACGACGACGACGGCCGCCTCGTCGCTTACGTCAGCGAAATGGCTAAAGCGACGTGATATGCCATTTCTCGAAACGCATTACCCAATGCGGGTTTTAACGCCTCCGCCGCCGCCGCCACGTCGGCAACCGTCGTTACCGTCTCCTCGGCGGATACCGCCGGTAGTACCCGAGGAGAGAGACGAAAGAGCGTGGAATACCGCGAATTATCTCGCAAGAGATGATCGTCCCGCCTGGTCCGCCACAGCCATCAATTTTACTGGCTTTACGAGCAGCAATAGCAGTAGCGTCAGCAGCAGCAGCAGCAGCAGCAGCAGCAGGAACAGCAGTAACAGCGGCGACAGCGGCAGTGGCAACGGCAACAACAGCAGCGGCAACAAATGTACCGCCATCGCCGCCACCTCAACAAAGGTGTGTGTGTGTGTGTGGTGTTTGTGTGTGTGTGTGTGTGTGTGTGTGTGTGTGTGGTGTGTGTGTGTGTGGTGTGTGTGTGTGTGCGCGTGTGCATGCGCGTGTGCGTGTATGTGCGTGCGTGTGCGTGCGTGTTAATCATTTTTTTCCCTTTTCAGCACAACACGCGAAACACCCGACGTGGTATCGTCGTCGATTGACTCGTCCGACGAATTTCGAGACCCCGACGATTTACAGCTGGGGCCGAGCGGCGCAAAAATTCGTCGTAAGATAAAACCCAAGAGTACCTTTTTTCTCTCTCTCTCTCTTTCTCCCCATTTTGTTTCCAAGTTTATTTTGTTCAGCGCGTACTTAACCGTCTCCTATTTTATTTCAGACTGCGCTAAACACCATGGACACCAAGTATCGAGGTGACACCGCGATACTTTCTTTCCAAACTTGGCCTTTATTAAAAAAAGATAAAGAATTTTACTTCATATACCCCAAGGGGCCTTAAAGGGCGTTTTGAAGGGACGTACCCAACCCTTGAAGCCGTGCACTAAGACGGTGCGCGGCCAATTACTCAGCCAGCCTAGGATGGTCATCACCCGACTGACACCGGAGGAGGTAAGCCGAGCGGAACGACGAGCAACGCCGCAACCGCGGCCAGTCGCCGAGGGGAGCCGGCGAAGCACGCCGTCGCCGACAATAGTAAGTCGACAGGTTGCACGGCACTCTGTGCCATCGGCGGGAGACGCGCGCCTATGGGGCTCTTCCGCCGAAATCGAGGCGATAAGACGCGCTGCCGAAGCGTTCGACAGCGCGTATCGCATTGAGATGACCCGAGTCACCGTGACCGACACGGTGACAATCACTGCCATGCCGGCGCAGCCATGGGACCAGCCAGATGAGGACGAGCCGGACTTCGCCAGCCCGGCCAGTGAAGAAGGAGATCTGGCAGACGAAAGGGGGACATCCCCAGAACCGTTTTAAGAGGCGCTAACACGCTCCGAGGACGGAACATGTATATAGTCATTCTTTTATAATAAAGTCATTTAGCCTATCCGTCCGGCGTAGTAATTAATAAGATACGCGACAGCGGTCGCTGGGCAGCGGCCCACTTAGTACATAAGCACTTATTTTCAGTGATCCACAAACATTTTCAGTTCTTTTCTCGGCACCAAGTGCCAGGCCCGACCAGGGAAGCAGTTTTCTTTTAATTTACTAGGTGCGTGGATCAGCAATAGCACCGGCACGATGATTGGTCGAGCCACACACAATCTTTAACGCGGGATTCAGAAAGCGCGCACGTCAGGCGAACGAGAGTCGAGATGCCGACTCCTGACATCCTCACAAGAGGATCATCCAAAAATTAGCGCGATCCGACCGCGCAAACATGGGGTTTGCCGGACACCCGGCGAAACACACGAAGGGGGCGCCGTAGCGCTAAATGGCTTGAACTGCCGCCAGAGGGAGGCTTCACCGACCTCTGGAGACTATCGCGAACACGATCCGATCGCGCGAACCCCAGGTTTGCCGGACACGTCACCAAATGACAAACGCGGCGACGCAGCGCCAAAAGGCTTGAAATGCCGCCAGAGGGAGGCTTCTCCGACTTCTGGAGACTATCGCGAACGCGATCCGCCCGCGCAAACACTTGGTTTGCCGGAC